TGATCCTCCTGCCTCAGCCTTCCCAGTGCTAGCCAGAATTAAGGGTGTACACCACTATGCCCAGCATTGTTGATTTTTTGTTTTCGTACTGAGGATTGGACACTGAACTCCATTCCACAGCCCTTTTAAAATTTTTATTTTGAGGCAGGATCTTGCAGGCTGGGCTCAAATTGTGATATTTTGTCTCAGCCTCTTAGCATGCTAGTATTACAAGTGTGTGCTATCAGGCCCTACATGTGCTGCTGTTTTTAACAGTTATTTTAACTGTTATCAGTCAGTTAAGGAAAAGCAAAGTTATGCTCATTTTGTTCCTCTTCTAGCCTTTCTTCATCTAAATCCAAGTTTCTGATCTAACTTTTCTTTTTTAAAATTTTATATTTTGAGATGGAGTGAATCACAAAGTTGAGTATTTTTCTTTTTATCAAAAATTTTACTTATTAGGGCAGGGGATATAGCTCAGCGGTGTAAGTATCTGCCTGGCAAGTGCAAGGTCCTGAGTTTAATTCCCGGTACCACACAAAACAATTTTTACTTACTCATCTGTTTACTTATTTATTCATTGAGGATTGAATCCAGGATTTTTTTTTTGAGACAGGGTCTCACTATGTAGTTCAGGCTGACCTTGAACTCATTGTGGAGGTTGGCCTCGAATTCATGGCAGTTCTGCTTCAGCCTTCCGAGTGCCTCTTGCCTCGGCCTCCTGTCTTGTGGAGGTTTTAGACCATAATTAGCTGGCTCCAAGGCGAGGTGGTGTGGCAGAGGAGCAACAGTTCAAGGTGGAAGACAGCAAAAGCAATGAAGGAGGAGAGAGAAAGCAAGCTTCTTTCCCTCCCTCATATTGTGTGCAGGCTAACCACCCCAGGGCGGGTATGGCACTCACTTCCATAACCCTGGCATTAGACCATCAGTCAATCACAAACTCTAGATTCAGCTGCCTCTGGAAAAAGCCTACCCTCCCTAACTGCATGAGGCTTTGAGGGGACATCTAAACACAAACTGTAACACTTCCCAAGTACTGAGATTACAGGTGTATACCACTGTACCCAGCTGAATCCAGGATCACATGCTAGGCAAGCGCTTAACTACTGTACTACATCCTCACCCTTTTAAAAACATTGTTTTTAGATTTTGAAATTGGATTTCACTAAGTTGCCCAGGCTGGGCTGAACTTTTGATCCTCCTACCCCAGCCTTCCCTCCTACCAGTACTCCAGTACTGGTTCACCATTATGCTCAGCCAGAAGTATTTGTTTGTTTGTTGTTTGAGAAAGGGTCTCATTATGTAGTCCAGACTGGCCTTGAACTCACCGTGATCCTCCTACTTTGCCCTCTTGAGGGCCAGGGTCACAGGTGTGCACAACTGCACCTGGCCAAAACCATTTTGAACGTGTCTTTCAAAGCAAATTTACTGACAGCAAATCCTCTCAGTTTATATTTGTCTGAAAAAATTCTTAATTTTACCCCTTTGGAGGCAATTTTGCTGAGTGTAGAATTCTCGATTGAGCATTCGTTTTTCATTGAATACTATTTTAATTTCCTTGCCTGGATTCTGAGAAGAAACCTGTTTTTTATCTTTGCTGTTCTATACACAAAGGGCTTGTTTCCCTCTAACCTAAGAATTCGCTTGATTTTATGCAATTTAAATCTGATAAATGTAGGTGTAGGTGTTTTTTGGGAGAGGGTGGGGTTACCTTGCTTGGTGTTCTTTCCTCCTCTAACTTAAGGTGTCCGGTATTTTTGCCTTGGCAATGAGAAAAGTAACATAAGACAACATAGTAAGCATTCTACTACTAGCTAACACCTAGACACTTTTCCTTTGGGAGATAAGGGTCTCACTGTGTTGTCCAGCTGTCACTCTATCCAGGGTGACAGGTCCCAAGAATGAGGTGCCCAAGGATGAAAAGAAAAGTAAGAGAGACAAGAAAAACAGAGGCAAAAGTCTGGGATCAGAGGGCTTACAGCCTTTGGGACTGCAGCCCTGATTACCAATCTCAATCACCTCTTATTGAGTGATAACCAAGGGCATAGCTAATACAAATGGGCGGATAACAAACGTTTTAGTAATTAAAGCATTATCCTTCTCTAATTCTGCCTCATGGTGCTGGCAACAGTCTCCAGGTGGGTCTCCAACACCCAACACCGCGCTTACTCAGTCCAGCTGGAGGTTATAAATTGACCACCAGTTATCAATCACAGTCCTTACTTCCCGTTAAATTTTACAGTGCATGGCATGACTAAAAAATAGGGCTCTCCTGAAATTCAAATACACTCTTATCTTCAGGTGAAAGGTTTCAGTTCATTTTTGCAACAATAAACAAATCATTGTGTATCCTCAGTGCTTTCTAATCAAAGAATGTTCTCCACATCCAGCGTGATCTCATTCTAGTTCAACCTCCCACCTAGCCGGGAGTATACACACATGACATCTCTGTCTTTGTTCTTTTCTTCCTTTTTTTCCCCCCCATGAACAGGGTCTCACTAGGTAGTTCAGGCTGGCTTTGAACTCACTATATGTAGTCTAGGTTGACCTCAAACTCATGACAGTGCTCCTGTCTCAGCCTCCTAAATGCTAGGATTATAGGTGTACACCAGCAGGATCTCTCCATACCCACCTTGTTTTCATTCTTGAAGGATATTTTTTTGTTAATGAGATTTTGAGTTGACAGGTAGGTCTTCTTGTTTGTTTTACCACTTCTTCAGTACCTCCTCCACTATGTTTCTGGGTTGAAGTCTGTATGCCTCTGCATAATTCTTCCTGTTTTGTTTAAGGCCAGGTCTCACAGTGTAGTACAGGCCAGACTCAGACTTTCCTTGTACTCTGGGCTGGCCTCAAACTCTATCCTCCTGCGTCAGCCTCCCAAAGATTGGAATTACAGATAAGGTCACTGCACCTAGCTATTGCTTCCCCTCATTGTTTCTGTCTCTGGCTCTTTTGGGATGCCTTTTACCTTATTTCTAACTCAATTTGACTTGGCTGTGGGTTACTTTGCATGCATCTGTTGGAGGTTCCCAGAGTCTCTTGAATATGTAAATTCATGTCTTGTATCACATTTGGCATTTTTCCTAAAAGTTTTTTGCCCCAATTTTCTGTTCTGCTGGCATTCTGATTAAAAAACGTTTTAAAATTATTGTTGCACTCAGGAGGCTGAGGCTGGGAGGATCATGGTGAGATAGAGGCCAGCCTGAACTGCATAGCGAGACCCTGTCTCAAAAATTAAAAAAAATATTGTCGGCAGGTCCTGAATCCTTATTTGTTTCTTCTCTTTCAGGTTGCATAATTCACCTTGAGGTTCACTTACTATCATTACTACCATATTCAGTGAATTTTTAAAATTTCAAGTATTAATATTTTTCAGGTCTAGAATGTCATTTTCTTTCTTCCTCTCTCCCCCTCTCCCTTTCCCTTCTTCTCTCTCCCTCTCTCTCTCTCCTTCCCTCTCTCCCTCCCTCTTCCCCCTCTCTCCCTCCTTCCCTCTCTCTCCACCTCTCTCCCTCCCTCTCTCTCTCCCTCCCTCCCTCTCTCTCTCCCGCTCCCCCCTCTCCCTCCTTCCCTCTTTCCCTCCCTCTCTCCCTCTCTGTCCCTCCCTCTATCCCTCCTTCCCTCTCTCTCCCTACCTCTCTCCCTCCCTCTCTCCCTGCCTCTCTCACTCTCCCTCCCTCTCTCCCTCTCCCGCCCTCTCTCCTCATCCCTCTCCCTCCCTCTCCTTCCCTTTCTTTCTCTCTCTCCCTCTCCCTTCCTTCTTCACTTCTCTCCTCTCCCTCTCTCTCTCTCCCCCTGCCCCTCCTTCTCCCTCCCTCTGTCTCTCTCTCCCTCCCCCTCCTCTCCTCTCTCTCCCTCTTTCCCCCTCCCCCATCCTCCTCCCGTTCCCCTCCCCTCCCCCTCCCCCTCCCTTTGCTTTTTGAGACAACATCTCAACTTGTAACTCCAGGTTGTCCTGAAACTGTACAGGCAGCCTAGCCTGGCCTCAATCCTTCTGCTCAGACTCTTGAGAGCTGGATAAAGGTGCATACCCATCCTCCTTTTTCAAATATACTGCTCACTCTGCCTCTAATCACAACTTAGAGTGACCACAAATTTTCTCAACTACACATTCTTATGTAATGTTCCAACTCAGCCCATATGCAAAAACAAAAAGTTAATGTCACAGTTTCTTAACACTTCCATATGGATGAAGCACAGAAACATATTCTGTCCTCGAGAGTCCCCTGTCTCAGCCTCCCAGACTGCTGGAGTTACAGGCTTGCACCATGATGCCCAGCTATTGTTTTTAATTTTTAAAGTTTTCCAACCTTCATCTTATGGGAGGTGATGCATGTACACTGAAGAAAGTGACTTTTTTTGGTCTTTTTGAGACAGAGTCTCGCTATGCAATTCAGGCTGGCCTTGAGCTCACTTTGTAGACCAGGCTAACCTCGAACTTGCACAATCCTCCTGCCCCAGCCACCTGAGTGCTGGGATTACAGGCGTGGGCCACTACACCCAGCTCTTTTTTTTTCTTTTTTTTTTTTTTTTTTGGTGCTGAGAGTTGAACTCAGGATCTTGCACTTGCCAGACAGGCACTTGTGCCACTGAGCTATATCCCTAGGCCCTGAAGAAAGTTATTGAGGGAAAGTGCCAAATTGTGGTGAAGAAAGGAGTGACATGATTTGGGAAATTATTAAAATAACGTTAAATGGAAGAGTTGACGCGTTACTTTGAGTGAGTAATGAAGTGGTTAAGTTGTTTGTCTTCTGTGTGTTCAGAAAAATTTTAGAGGGTTAAACTTGGCCTGGAGAATGGAGCATGCTCGCACTTAAGTGAGGCAGGCTGGGTTTGGAGTAGTGAAACACTCAAAGCATGGAGATGAGTGGTGAGAAGCAGTCAGTGCTTTCCATTCCCCCTGAATTCTGTGTGGTAGAGGCCAAGGCCTAAAGGACAGCGGGGGAGTTCAAAGCAAGAGAACAGTATTTCATCAATTACAAAACCCAGTTTCTTATCATTGCACCTTTCCTGTTTTTCAGCTTTTGGATAAGCACAAGAACACCGAGAGCATGGTGGAGCTTCTGGACTTATATCAGCTGGAGGATGAGGCTTACAGCAGCCTTGCAGAAGCCACAACCGAGCTCTACCAGTATTTATTGCAGCCCTTCCGAGACATGAGGGAGCTTGCCATGCTGCGCCGGCAGCAGATCAAGGTAGGGTTTTGTAAACCTAAAGAGTAGCCTACCAACTCAACGGTTCTGGGCCTGGTTGGCCACGTGTCTTAGTTGCTAAAGGAACTTTACAACCTTTGGACAGGTACCTAGGCCTTATCCTTCAAAGATTGGGTTACAGCTCCAGGACCTCACTTTAAAGCATCTCAAAAAGTGATTCTGCCAAGTAGCTCGGATTGAGACCAGCCTAGAAAGTAATTGTTGTTTCTAGTACAAAATTGTAAATACTTGGAAGATCCCCATCTTCCTCTACTACTTCTGTCTCCTTTTTAATGTTTTGGCTTCTGACTGCTTCTAGACTTTATCAGAAGTTTGGGAACATTTCTTTTGGGAAGAACTTGTTATGAAAGTTACAGTAGTTTAATGGGAGAGCTTTAAAATTCACATTTAATTTTCATGTATGAAGAAGTATGTATTGCTTTTCCTGAGATAAGCATTTTAATGTTGGCTCTTACAGCTGGCCTTACCAGTGTTTCTGTGCTTCATCCATATGGAAGTGTTAAGAAACTGTGACATTAACTTTTTGTTTTTGCATATGGGCTAAGTTGGAACATTACATAAGAATGTGTGGTTGAGAAAATTTGTGGTTACTCTTAAGTTGTGATTAGAGGCAGAGTGAGTAGTATATTTGAAAAAGGAGGATGGGTATGCACTTTTATCCAGCTCTCAAGAGTCTGAGCAGAAGGATTGTGTGAGTTTGAGGCCAGGCTAGGCTGCCTGTAGTTTCAGGACAACCTGGAGTTACAAGTTGAGACGTTGTCTCGAAAAGCAAAGGGAAAGAAGGATGAACAGAGGCTAAAGCATGCCTTTGTCTTTTTTCACATAATCAAAGAATCAGAATAGAGAATAGCAAAGACACACAATTGACACGTACCCAGTAGTTGAGTAAATTTTGTTATTTAGGTATAAAATGAGTTGGGTGATGGTGTATACTTTTAATCCTAGCATTTGGGAGACTGAGCAGGAGGATCACTGATTTCAAAGATAAAGCCTCTCAAAAAACAACAAAAAAGAATACAAAAAATCAATTCCTAGAGTCAGAAACATGTTCCACCCTAACATGGTATGGGTTGTGTTGTATACAGAGATAATCATCAATTTAAAAACCTTGAAGGATTTGAAATTTTTTAATTTATTTCCTTACATGGGTTTTTGTTTGTTTTGTCTTCTTGAGACAGGGTCTCGCTGTGCAGTTCAGGCTGGCCTCCAATTCATAATAATCACCCTGCCTCAGCCTCCCAAGTGTTAGGATTAGAGGTATGTGCCACCACGCCCAGCGTTTTTTTTTCTTTTTTTTTGCCTTTTTGAGACAGTGTTTCACTATGCTGGTCTTGAACTTAACTATGTTAGCCCAGCTTGGCCTCACACTCATAGCAGTCTTTCCTGCCTCAGCCTCCTGAGTGCTGGGATCCCAGGTGTGTACCACCACACCTGGCCTGTCCTGAATTTATTTTAGTCCTTAACATGATAAAAGCAGATAGCATCCAGTAATATATAAAAAGATGAGGTGCTGTGATCAAGGGTATTTATCTTAGACATGCAAGGTCGGTTTAATATTCAAACATAAGTCAGTGTGCTAGGCACAACAGTGAAAAAGTATAAAACTTTGTTGAAATTATAAGGTGCCCAATAAATAGAGATGGAGCATATTAATAGTTAGGAAGGAAGACCAATAATGTTTATATATCAGTGTGGTTGGGTTTGTTTTTTTTGTTTGTTTGTTTGTTTAATGTAATGCCTCATTCATCACCAGAGATCCAGGTATCCAACACAGTATTGGGTGAATACACTTAAACCGTGTCCAAGCCATTGTAGTCTGTAGTTGGTTCTCATTTATTTGGCCTATTAATTAACATTCCAGAGGGCTTTTATATAATTTTAATTGACAAAGTATGTGTTTTATCTTTTTTGTTTGTTTGTTTTTTGAGGCAGGGCCTTGCTATACAATTCAGACTGGCCTTGAACTCACTTTGTAGCCCAGGCTGGCTTGGTGCTCATGGCAATCCTCCTGCCTCTGCCCCAAGTGCTGGGATCAGAGGCGTGTGCCACCATGGCCTGTTTAGCATTATGTGTGTGTGTGTGAGATGAGAATGCTTAAAAATTGCTCTTAGTGACTTCAAGAATATAGTATGTTATACTTACCATGTTGTAGAAATCTCTTGAGTTTATTCCTCCTAACTGCAAATTTTGTATCCTTTAACCACATATTTTCCTGAGGCCTCACACCACCCATCTTCCTGAGGCCTCACACCACCCATGCTGTCCCCTCCAACCCTAATAAGCCCCTTTTTATATAGACATTTTCTGCTTTTAATGAGTTTCACATTCTAGGTTCCACATATATAAGTGAGATTACATATTACCTGTCTTCTGTGTGCCTGGTCTGTTTCCCTTGAGGTAATGTCCTTCACATTTATTCTTGTCACCACGAGTGACAGGATTTCTTCCTCCTTTTAAAGAGGGCCGAATGGCATTCCACTGTGCACACAGACCCCTTTCCTTGGTTGCTTCATTTGTCTGTGGGCACGTCCATTGATCTCATTTCTTTGCTGTTCACTGTGTGCTCAGCAGTGAACATGAGAATACAGAGTTTTCATGTGCTGATTTTGAGTTGTTTGGATATGTTCCTCAGAAGTGGGATCGCTGGATCACATGGTAGCTCTACTTTTAATTTTCTGAGGACCTTCAATACTGTTTTCATTTTTTGCTGTACCAGTCTGCATCACAGTGTACAGACTCACCTCTTTCCAACAGTTACCATTTGTCCGTTTGATAATAGCCAGTCCAGTAGATGTAAGGTGATAGATAACTCTCTGCTTTTAACTTGCCTTTCTCTGATGCCTAGTGATGTTCAACAGTTGTCATATACTTGCTGGCCATTTGTATGTTTTGTCTGCTCAAGTCCTTTGTTCTTTTTAGTCAGGTCCTAGTATTGAGTCCTTTTATCTGTTTTGGTATTACACAATCATATTAGTGTGTATGTATTTTTTCCTATTCCATAGAGTGTGCCTTCACTCTCTTGGTAGATTCCTTTGCTGTGCAGGACTTTTGGGTTTGGTATAATCCCTTTTGTCTATTTTTCTTTTAGTTGTCATGTTCAAAGTGATTTTCCAACTTGTGTCATAGAGCTTTTTCTTTTGTGTTTTCCTCTAGAATTTTATAGTTCAGTCTTTTTTCCATTTTGAGTCGATTTTTCTGTATGGTGTGAGAAAAGAATGGAATTTCATTCCTCTGATAGATCACTCTTGCTTGTACCATTTATCGAAGAGGGTGCTCTTCCCCGTTGTGTGTTCTTGGCACTTCTGTTGAAAATCAGTGGATGATTAATGTACAGATTTATTTTGAGGTTCTTTCTCTGTTTTCTGTTGGTCTGTGTGTCAATTTTTATGCCAGTACATAGTGTTTTGGTTACTGTACCTTTTTTGTATACTTTGAAATTTCAGCATTGTTGTTTGCAGGATTATTGTGGCTATTTGGGGACTTTGGTTCCATTTTCATTTATTTTATTTATTGATTTGTTGTTTTGAGACACTATAGTCCAGGCTGGCCAGGAACTCACTGTGTAGCCCAGGCTGACCTTGAACTGATGGCAGTCCTTCTGGCTCAGGCTCCTGATTGCTGGGATTATAGGCATCTACCACCATGCCCAGTTTGGTTCTGTGTTAATTTTACCATAGTATTTTGTGTTTCTCTGTTTCTGTTTTGTGTGTGTATATGTGTTTGTGTGTTACTGGGGATTGAACTCAGGGCCTTGTACATGCTAGGCAAGCACTTTACCACTGAGCTACATCCCCAGCCCATTTTTCTATTTCTGTGAAAGTATCAGTTGGAGTGTTTGATGAGGACTACACTGAATCTATATCTCACTGGGTAGTATGAACACTCCCCACCTCACCCCTGCTGATTCTGGGGGTTGAGCCCAGGGCCTTAAACGCTGAGCTACATTCCCAGGCCTTTTAAGATTTTTTATTTTGAGACAGTGTCTGGCCAAGTTACCTGGGTTAGGCCCAGACCTTTTACCCCAGCCTTGCAGAATGCTGGGATTGCAGGTGTGCGTCAATACATCTGACCTACATGAGTGAGCATTTTAATTATCTTCCCTGTCTTCCTTATGCCACTGGACAGGGTCCAAAGTGGTAATCAAAATGGACATGGGAAACCTTGACATATTCCACCCATAGAACAGGCTGCAGGCGCGCTCACTTGCATCCCAGAAAAGGGATTTTCAGGAAGAGACAATGGAGAGGCACACGTGGGTATGTTAGGTAGAATTTTAGTAGCGCTTTTTTTTTTTTTTTTTTTTTTTGGTTAATGGGAATCAAACTCATGACCTCATGCCTGCCAGGCATAAACTCAATAAACTGTGCCTCTGAACTATATCCCTAACTAGGCAGAATTTTAAAAACACACATTTTAAATTTTAAAAGCACACTTTCAAATGCAGAACTGAGAGAGACACAGTCAGAGGCAGGGAGGCACTATAGTCTGGAGCTGGGGATATTTATGTGTTTTGGGGTCCAGTCCTGGAATTTGAATCTGTGGAAAGTGTGGCTTAGTTTACAGGAAACTGTGATGGCCCACTCATAGAAAGATGGCCCATTTTACAGGGGAAAGGCAGGGCCCAGTCCAGTTTTTGTTTTGTTACAATGAGTGATCTAAGATGTTTTGTCTAAAAACTTCTTTGAAACTATTTCTCTATTGTAAGGTCAGGTTTTTGCCTTCTACCAACTAAACTAATTTATGAATTTAAAAGATGTTTAATGGTTAATGGGATTCAGGGTATGATGGGCCTGGAATAAAGGCAGCACAAACAAGCCTGGGAATACAGGTATAGGTAACATTGGGTAACTTCTGTTGTGTGCCCTGAAGTTGCAGTATTCAAAGTACTTTGGTTTTGTTTTTTTTTTTCTTTTTCTTTCTGTGTGTGTGTTTTTGTTTGGTTTGGTTTTTTTGAGACAGGGTCTCTGTGTAGTAAAGGCTAG